CGCTCCCACGCCGCTCGCAGCCTTACTTTGAACGGCCGTCTCACACCGATGTCGAGCGGTTAAAGTTCCTTTGTCAGACCCCCGGGATAACAGCAAGCACAGCGTTCATTTGTTTCACCATGTTTTTCACATCGGCTGTGAGATGGGCACGCAGCGATGGTGATGCGTGGAAAATAACACCTGTTCTTTTATACACAATCCACGCCCACACTTTCCCCTTTAACGTTCTCATGGTGGTCTCAACGTCCGCAGAAACAACACACATAGGGCGCACCGCACTATAGGGCGCGCCACACATTTTGAGGGGGAAAAAAAGACGTTTATATGCACCTTATAGTCGTGAAAATACGGTAAGTTAAAAGAAAACTAAAAGTTAAAAAAGGCACGGCAGCGGAGGTTTGACGATGTTGGAAACTCAGTGGTTTATTCAAATTCCTGTTTAAACCAGATTATATTGCAGAGCTGAGACCATGTAAGGTATGACTGGGCAGTTAAACCCAGAGAGACTAGGGCTGTTTCTCAGTTCACAAGAACGTGAGTACGGACTTGTGTCCTCGACAAGTATGTTCTTTAGAAGAACACAGGAAAGTCTGGACTCTGGGAGAACGGGAGCACGCAGCATAAATATCAACCAGAATAGAAGCGTACTGATGAAGTCAACACCTGCTCGGCCAGTCTGGAGCTGCATTTCACCTTCTGTTATTATTAGTCTCTAGATGATAATAAATTCTGATTTTTTTTCATTAAGTGGGGGAATATTAATTAACACAGTCAGATAAACACAAATTAAATGAACATTTTGTCAAATAAAACAAAAAAATTGCCATCAGAGCATGCGGTCCTTCACACACGGCTATGCCAAGACAGGGCTGCTGCAGAGGGCTAACGTTAGCCCTAGCTGCCGTAAGCCTCAGAGGTCGGCTGGTTGCCACAGTCCTCTCAACTTCGGAATTTTCTTTTTTAAATTACGCATTAAATTGGTAAATGAGCCATATAGTGACGCTTAGATGTATAATGTTCTCGCCTCAAATGATCTTAAAACTTACTTTTATTGAACAACAGAAAATAGAGATTTTAACATTCAATGGAGCGCTCCATTGAAAGCTTCTAAAGCCGCAGTGCATGCTGGGACTGCTGTCAATTTGAAGAATGGACAAATCTGCTCTGATGCATGCTGGGTAAATAGGAAGGGGCGAGAACAACATCCGGGGACTTTGTCTGTTCTCGGCCTTCTTGCCCTTGTGAATTGGAACAGTACTGAGGCTGAGGACGTTTCACGAGTGCACGAGAACGCACAAGTACACATATTGAGAAACGGCCTAAATCTTAGCTGACCAGAGGGTTGGGGTCCAGCAGCTGGGTGAAGACGTATCTCATGAAGACCGTCATGTGTGCTGGTCGGGACTTTAACAACTCGATGTCCTGGAAAGGACCGTCCATCTATAAACACAGGAAAAATAACATGAAGGAAGACAGAAAAGCAGCTACAGGATCAGACAGGTTCAATTAAAAGACCCAGACCTCGTTAAAGCGGTAGCCATCAACATCATCATCATCCACCTCCTCAGGGCTGATGATCTGCGCTTTTCCACCCTGTGATAGAAACAGATGAATAAAGATGTCGTTTAAATGGCTGAAACATCACAAGTACTCGTTTATTTATTGCTAACATGCAGGAAACAGGAAAGACTGAGAACGTAGATCTATTGTTATAAAAATGTGGAAAAGACGAATGAGAAAAATGAAGGAGAAGGAAACATGGCGGCGGATGTGTGTCCGTCTCACCGTGTCAGACAGGCCGTGTGTGTCCGAGTTCTGGCAGCGGTGATGGGGGGTCCTGAATGGTGATGGGGGGGAGGAGTTGGGAGTCTCAAAGGGCTGGGGGGGGGAGGGAGGATGAAGGGGAACGGGATGAGTGGACGATCACATGCACCAACAGACTCTGCTCTGATTGGACAGACAAGCTCACCTCCGGGTCTCCTTCACTCGAGTCCATGGACAGCCGTCCTGTGGAGGAACAGGACGCCTCATTAGAAAACATTTTAACTATTTAACATTTAACTAAAGTATTCACACCCCTTAAACATTTCCTTAGTTTATTAACATTACAGCTACGATTATTAATGCGCTCCACTGAGATCGGATTGGAAATAATTAAAGACTTAAGTTAGGTTGAAATGTGTCGACTCTGATCCCTAAAAACAACCTGCAGGCCTCATACCAGCTAATTAACAAACATAGAGGGGCTTAGTGTTTAATTCAATCCCTAAAATAAACCCTTAGAGGTCTGTTAAAAAACAAACTGCTTCATGAATACCAGAAAAACATCAGACGCAACAGGAAGACGCTGAAGAGCAGTTAAATCAGCTTTAAGTTTAACAATAAGCTGAGCTTTGAACGTTTTACAGAAACCTTTTCAAAAATCACCTAAAATAAAAAGATGACCACAGGGCTGCAGATCTACCAAGATGTTACTGATCCGATAGAGAATATGAGTCAGCGCAGCTGCCATGGTAACACTGGAGGAGCTGCAGAGATCCAGGGCTCA